CAAATCTTGGACCTTTCTATAAACCTTATCTCAGGGAAAATTTCGCGATGTTTAAACAATTTTACTTCTTTGGTTGAGAAAAATAGTTCAATTGAAACAATACCAATCAGTGAGGTTTTCTTTGAAAGATACGTCGACAATGTTTTAGTTCAATGGAAAGGAAAAGCGATAGAATATAGCTTGGGCTTCTAAAAGGCAATGATCTTTCTAGCAATATGTTATTTGGAACTATTCCTCAAGAACTTTTTGATATGAAGGGTTTAATTTTCTTGAACTTATTGAGAAACCATTTGACGGGAAATATTATTTCAAGCATTGGTCAAATGGAGATGTTGGAATGGCTCGACTTGTCTAAAAATCAACTTTATGGAGAGATTCCCACTGGCCTTGCAAATCTAAACTATCTCAGCATTCTGGACTTATCATACAATAATTTGACAAGGAAAATTCCAATAGGCACTCAACTACAAAGCTTCAACCCTTCTACCTATAGTGGGAACAACAAACTATGTGGGTGTCCTCTAACAGTGTGTCCTCAAGATGCTCCTGATCCTTCCCTAACTGATTATGGAAAGGGAAACAATGTTGAAGAAGATAATGGGTTCATAACTCGAGAGTTTTACTTCTGTATGGCATTTGGTTTCATTTTTGGATTGTGGGCTGTTATTTTTACTCTATTTCTCAAGCACTCATGGAGACATGTCTATTTCAACTTCTTCAACAATGTTGGAAATTCGATATATGTGTATGTGACAAGATTTACAAGAAAACTTCACGATTAACGGTAAGTCAAAATTTACTTCAAAAACTTCCTTCCATTCATTTAATTGATCTCCTGTAGGAAGCTTCTCCATTTTGACTCTCTGAATTCAGTTCGGAATCCTAACATGTCTACCTTGTCTGAGTGTTCCATCTCAGTGTTAAATTGAATATTTTCTAGTCATGTTGTGTCACCCATGTTATCATTGAGTTTCGACGTCGATCTTAAAAAGCCAACCTTTTAAAAAACGTAGCTTAAGCCCTTCTGTATGTGACTATTTTTCATGTTTAATCCATGTGTCTCGTAAGATGTGGTGGCTAGTTTTGTATATTACATAGAAATCTTGAATCTATTTGTGATTAATAAATCAGGTTCATCTGCTGCGGAACAACTAATGACTGGGGAAACGCAGGGGTGGATGTTTTCTCTTAAATCATCACTAGATGCTACCGTTTTCCACTATATTATTTTGCAATCTTGTACATTTCATAATAAAAATAAACTTGTGCGTCATGAATAGACGAAATATTGTATTTATATATTGTTGTGTATTCTGCAATCAAGAAGACCATCTGGTCTCTAAAATCAGCAGATTTGAATTGTCTTAGGACTTGTTGTCATGCTGGAATCAAGAATTAGGTTATCGCATTATTTTGTTTCATACACAACGTTGCAAAATAAAATTATAGTGGCTTCACTTCTAATTATTGCGTTACCGAGTCACCACTAAATGAATACGTATTGCAAGTCAAGAAAACTTGTTGTCTCGTGTTTAATTCCAAACTGCATAATGAATCCAACTTTCCACATATACATGCAAAATAGATAGAAGTTGTATACAATATTAAAGTTCAAACAATTGGATCCATAAGCAGTAGCAGAAACTTAATTTTATCATGAGACTACATGCATTAAGCATCCCCATTCCAAGAACAGAATTCACAAATCATGAAATGAGTTCGTTATTATGACAGAATATAATATGCACATAAATAATCGTTTAAGATTGTTAGGAAAATATAAACATGCATAAATTATATTCTAATGACATAATTTTTACATGCATGAAATTGAACAGAATTTCGACTAACCAAAATTGAATACGAAAAATAGAAATGAGAAATGCAAATCGAGACAAGAAATAAACTCTTTGTCCTGAAAACGATAATGCCCCGACTAGGGTGTTAACGATTTTTCGACATTCGTCTCCCAAAATGCAAGAATCACGTCCCACAATAGGAACACTCCAAATTTCGTAGATCAACAATCCTTACTAATGTTTTGAACTCTCTTTTAATTCAAAGTAAATGAACAAATGAATATGCATCAACATGATATGCAATTTATGAATTGAATAAATTAATTTCAATCATACGAAATCAATATATAGTGTTCCAAAAATTGTGAATCAAAAGACACAACTCGATAAAAATGCATGTCTAAAAAGACACGTCTTGTTGAAAAATACATGTCTAAAGAGACATATCTCTACAACAAAAGTTGTGTCCTTTTGTTCTGTTTTGCTAGTTTCACATTTACTGATGTGTTGAAAACTGAAATGAATTTGGTTTATTTGAGGAGTCACTAGTCTATATACGAATGTGGTTTATGCATAACTTGGAAGGTTCTCGACCTTATAAATATTGGATTGTGTTAGTTCTACATAAAAATGATACATAAGTGATGACATAAAATGAAGTGGAAGGAAAATATTGGATAAAAATTTGATTGTATTTTAAATTGATAAATAATAGAGATATGTTATTATTATGTAACCCATTATATAACATGTAGCAAAGTCCATAAGTATTTATTTCATTCAATCTAAAGGTGGTGCTCGAGTAAGATTGGGTTTTTGATTTAGTAGGAGCCTGACTTTGCTGTCCTACTAAACCTAAGAACGTAAAAGCTGAGATCTTCCATAGTCGAATTGATCATTTTGGTGGCGCAATATAAATCAGTGTTTGGTGGTGGCACCTTCCGTTCCTTGTTCTTTTTCGATTTGGAGTTTCTTGTTTCACTTATATTCCCAACCTTTTCACCTCATTTTTATTTTTTGTGCTCAATTAATTTGACCATCTTGTTTATAATGATAGTTTCTGTCCAAATATTCGGTTAACTTTTAAATTTATTGTTTATCTCACTTAATTAAAAATAATGAGACAAATAAGTCTTTTTATACCACATAATGGATTTCTCGGCCATCATCACGAACAAGTTGTGAATAGAAGATTGAAGGCAAAAATACGATGGAAAAAGTCGAGGATATAAATAAAAATTGAAGACTTAATTGTATTTATGTAGTTAATAAAAACTGTCGTTCGCGTGAAATGTTAGGTAGTTAACTAAAATTGTCGTTCGTGTGAATATAATTATTGATTCAAATTGCATAAAGAATGGGATTCAAAGTTGAGTACTAATATCAGAATATTCAACAAAGGGGCGGGAAGTGAAAATTAACAGTTTGGTATTCAAAATTAACAAGATGATGCTATAAGTGAAAATTTATGAAACAATGCTACAAAATTCATAGTAATTTGATCCCCGTTTTTTGGTAAAATGTATTATGGAAAAGTGATTTTTTTGAGAGGATGTATGGTTAAAAAATAATAAAATATTTTGAAACACATATACTATTATTTTATAGAAGAATGTATTGTTGGAAATGAAATTTGAAAAATTGAGACTCAGGCCTAGTGTTATTTCTTCCATCTAAGTCCATTCCCGACAAGCCCAAGGGTAATACAGGAAATAAAAATATTTCAGAATCCGTCAATCCAAAAAACCCTAGGTATAAATTGCCCTCTGCTATCGGAGTATATAGCCGAAGCTCAAGTTTCCATCATCTCTTACCTCATAAAACCCTAAGAGGAGCAGAGCCAGCCGAGTGTCGGATCCTTGATCCCTGCACATTAATCACCAGGTAGGTGTCTGAATATGAACTTCCCATATATCTGTACACTGATTAATTGGGAACAAGGTTTAGTTTATTATACGTTTGAATTTGTGAAATGTTTTTATTATTGTTTTTCTTGAACAGAAATGAAGATTATCGCGGCTTACTTGTTGGCCTGTTTGGGTGGCAACACCTCCCCCACAGCCGATGACTTGAAGGATGTCCTTGCCTCAGGTTCTCCTCTCTACACATTTATATGCTTTGTCTGTGGTACTTGTAATCTAAGCAGTTTCTTGATAAAAAATTTATGGTCTTTTTAGTGTAAATAATTTTTGTACTGTCAGTAGCAAGCTTATGAAATGATTCTGGATTGCCCACTTTTAGAGCTTTTTGTGTGTAGATCCTTTGAATTGATTATGTTGATTACGTGTCGTAATTATAGTTTTTGGGCTTAAATCCAGTGCTTTAACTTTAGAATTTGTGTTAATATTCTTTGAATGTGGTGAATGAAGATTTTGATGAAGCACAATGAAAGCTTGGCAACATGGAATTGATGAAAGAATTGGAATTAATAAAAATTTTAAATTAGGATTTTTCTGGCAATCCAATCTATCAATTCCAAGTATCTGAATTGAAGTTGGCTTGGCCAAGGATAAATGACATTTAGAGATTCCTTTTTTATATTAATCCGCTGATCATTTTTTCTATATCAGATCTACTTTCAGTTGGATGTTTGACTATAATGAATATTATCAGCGTTATATGTTTTAGCACCACTTGAAACAAATGTATAGATTACTCAATGAACTGATGTGAATTGCTTATAATCTGTCACGACATTTTAACGAGTTTGTATGCATACATATGCTAGTGTTGTTTACGTGTCTTTGAGGTTGTTGGACGTTCTCAATAGTTTTGTAAATGATTTAATTGTTTGTGACCTGCCGAGTTCGAAAAATTTGTTGCTAATTTTCAATCCATTGTTTCCGAAGTGGCCATTTTTACTATATTGAGAATTGATATTTGCTTTGTTCTTTAGCCTTTTTTGCATCAACCTGTGTATGAACTGATATTGCCCCTTTTGGCCCCCATTAATTTCAATTCCATTCCATTTCATTTTTCTCTATCCTATTTTTAATCACACGATCCTGCATCAAATAATATTACACGTAAATCGAAAACTTTTCCTTCTTTTTCAACTACTCATTTTTCAAAAAAATACTATTCCACCCATTTTTATTACCACAAAATGGGGGCCAAACGTGGTAATTGTTGGAGTTTGTTGCTGGGCTGGAACTTATCTAGCTATGGTCATATTAACTGGGTTCGTCTTTTCTGGTTCAGTGGGAGCTGAGGCTGATGATGAGAGAATTGAATTGCTGTTATCTCAAGTTCAGGGCAAAGATATAACTGAACTAATTGCTGCTGGAAGAGAAAAGTTGGCTTCAGTCCCATCAGGTGGTGGAGCGGTTGCCGTTGCTGCACCTGCTGCTGGTGGAGGTGGCGGCACTGCACCCGCTGCTGCTGAAACAAAGAAAGAGGAGAAAGTCGAAGAGAAAGAGGAGTCCGACGATGTAAGTTCCAGAAATTTACTATCCTCTTTATCATTTATATAACTCTCCATAAAATTGGTTGATACTTCTGTTTTTATAACTGGTCTTCGGTTTTTCTTACAGGAATTGGGCTTCGGTCTGTTCGACGACTAAGAACAGTTTTAGATGTCCTTTTGTACGAAACACCTCTGCAACTTACAACACCATGTTCATTTTAGAAGATTTTCCATCTGTCTACGTTTTCGGCATGAATTTTTAGTTTTGGGTTTCAGAATTTTATTTCCTAAACTAGTTGAGGAAGACGTTGAAGATATAATATTCTTAATTCGGAGTTTCTTTATCTTATATTTTGTATTGTTTTAGGTGTTCTACGTGATTAAATTCTTAGCACAGTAAGCTCTTGCATCTTCTCGAGTAAAAGACGTGCTTATTCGAGCTGTGTTAGAATCGATGCAAACTTATTTGTTACAAGTTTTCCCTGGCCACCAAAGTTCATCTTTGAAAGTATTACATTCAGCGAAACAGAAACATAGTAGTACTTCAAGTATTTGCCCTTGTTTGAGCTCCATCTTTTGGTCAAAATGTATTTTGGAGTAGTATTTTGTTGGAGAATGTGGTTGAGAATGAGTTTTGAAAAAATGAATTTTTGAAAAAATGGGAGCTGAACATGAGCTTAGTCGTTGTTTGATCCCTATTATAATAAAAATCATTTTTTTTTTTCAAATTTATTTTCAATAACATACCACAATAAAATATTTTAAACTTAAATTTAAAGTTTTTTCTTCTACTTTTTGACAACATATTATTCAAAAATTCACTTTTACAAAATGCATTTTCAACCAAATAATAATAATAATAATAATAATAATGGGGGCTTAAACACATCTTTAGTTTTTATTCCATCACATTATTCAAAAATTCAATTTTGCAAAATGCATTTTCTAAAAAAAAAAAGGGGCTCAAACAAATCTTTAGTATTTATTCCTTATTTGACAACCATCTTTCAATAAAAGTATAACGTTGAGGCGAATATCCGGTCCTAAACTTTAGGGTTTCGTGAGATTAGTCAAGGTACACGTAAGTTGGTTCGAATATTCACGATCATAAAAAAAAAATGTTAGTTTCATTGGGATTGTAACTTCAATCTACGTGACGTTAATGTGATAAGTAAAATTAAATAACTCATTTAATTTAACATTTTATTTAGGTCTAGTTTGATACCCATTTTTCTTAAAAAATAATTTTCTCTTTTTTCTTTTCAACCACATATTTTTCAATAAAATAATATTACACGCAAAACAAAAATTTTTCCTTATTTTTTAATACACATTTTTCATCAATCAACTATTTCAATGTGCATTCTTACTATAAAAGTGGGAAACAAATAAACTCTTACGGCATGTTTGATAGGCTTCTTTTTCCATGAAAAATGCACGCAAATGGTATGTTTGATGGTCAAAATTTTCCATAGAATTGGTTTTTCAATTAACCCCTACGTGACCACATTTACTTGGTTTTTAAGGAATTGATTTTCTTTTAGTTTTGGTGGAAATTGGGTTTTCCAACTTCTTTTTATTTTTAATTTTTTTGACAATTGAAATAAATTCTATCCACAGTTGTAATAAATTATAACCATTTAATTGACAATTTTTATGAAAAACAAAGCCAGATGAAAACCAAAAATTCAAAATTTCAACATTTTTCAGGCGAAAAGTTATATTAATCAAACACCTTTAATTGATAATTTTCAATAAAACAAATTCTAAGTAATTCAATTCCGTAAAATTCGTTTTCTTTCCATCCAAATTTCATTATTGTAATCAAACAGACTCTTAATCTATCATCTAACGTCACTTAAACTGGAGTTACAACTCCATTGGAGCTATACGTAGCATTAATTTTTTTGATAGTAATTTTTAGGAGAATGGTTAAAAGTGGGGAATAAGTTCTAATTTATATGCAAAATATTTTATTATGTGATTAAAAATAACTATGGAGAAAAAATAGTTTGAAATAATGATTGAATAGACAGCACAACTAATAAAATGTTAATCTCTATTTTTCTTCTTTAAAATCATTCACATTGGACATTCTGTACCATCTGCTTTACGTGGCAAACTATTAGAGTTTGTTTGGTACAAAATTTAAGTCAATTAAAATCAATTTTTTTATCGTTATTTCACTATTACAGTCGTCATTTTTGAATTCTTTTCTTACAGATAGGACCCACTTTAACTTTAGCGATAAAAAAATAAATTATCAAAATTCCTACCAAACAAGCACTAGAATTTTATATTTTTGCAGGCAGGAAAATTGCAACTCAAAGAATTGTCATCATCTTAAAACGTCCTAGACATGAATTTATATGTCCCCCCCACGCCTCGCACCCCCCACAAAACCAAATACCCCAACTAAATCTACTCCAATTATTGGTACTGTAGGTGTGATGAATTATAGCGTACTGAATTTAGGAAACTAATGCTAACATCAATGCATTATCAGGATAAATGTAGATTTTTTTTAAAAATAAAGTTTGTGAAAAATAAAATTTTTGAAGAATATGTGGTTAAAAAAATAAAAAGAAGTTAGGAATTCATGTGTAAAATTATTTTATTAAACAAATGTATGATTCAAAAATGAGTGTGAAGAAAATTGAATTAAAGAAATTGTACCAATATAGGCTAATTCTCCTAAAAGAAGAACCATATAACTACGCCCCAACCCCACTTTCTTCCATCAAATAAACATCTCACATGTTAGGAGTCAAGACCACACAAAATGGAATAATTCTCTCGAAATTTATAATAAAAAAAAAAAATTGAGATAAACATGTAATTTATTGTTTTGAACTCTTTCCAAATTGACCAGCTATTGAGGAAATGTAGTAGTGAAATGTCTGTACAGAGTTGCGTCTCTCTTAATCAAACATCTTAATTATCGAATTTAAAACATTATTCAATCTGTAAATCGGATTTACATATTTTTTATATTGGGAAAAAATTTAAGGGTTACTTAAATAGTTGACTTATGTTGTAATTTGAGGTGGTGTACTTCCATCTTTACAAGAGTTTGTCATCGTCCTCTCAACAAAGAAGGCCTTGTTAACTTTCTTAGACAAGTCGGTATTTTAAAAAGTCCTCATTGATTTCACGTATGACATGAGAGATAAAAACTTCACTAATTTTTGAACTGAAATATTGGATAGAGAAGTGTAAATATCTTGTCACGCTATCCGACTCCACAACATTATCATTTACATTTTGTCTAAATGATTATTTTATTTTATTTAGGAGGTTGTGGATTGAAATTAGAAGCAGCAAAGTGGGGAGCCCAAAGGGTTTTGAATACAGTGCATGTTGGCATCATGGTTTACATGTAATGCTGTCGACATCACAACAAAGGGCCATTGGCTAGGAGAAAATAAAATTGTTTTTGTCGCCTTAAATAAAATCAAAATGAAGTTTCCTTCGTCTCCCCATTGTCGCAAAACAACACTGCCTTCCAAACAATTTTGTAATCATCCCATGTTACATAAATTGATATTTTCATCATTTTGTGATCAACTATTACTCGTGGATTCATTATAATAAAATTATACACCATCAACTTCGAGTCGACTTATTATTTCATATTAATATTTTATTATATATATAATTTTAAACTCAAATGCACAAATTATACGATATGTCAATGGAGCATTATTTTTATAAGATGTAATTGTTGACAAGCTTGTACTACTACTAGTAATAGTCCACAATAGTTTTGGGGCAACTTTCATCCGATAGATAATCTCCGTTCAAACATGGAGGGATGAAAGGTGGAGTCGTACATCTCAAAAGTGCCCAATTCGCCCCTTGAAAGAATGGATGGCGTCTAATGGCTGACGCGCCCATTTTCGATCCCATTCGATACTCTGGTTCTTTAACAAGCAATTGAGATATTAGGTCCTTTACCACGGCGGGTATCACAGGCTCTTTAGGAAACTCAAGGGCTCGAGCAATGATGTTCGCTAGGGTTAGCTCATGGTCCATACCACGAAATGGTGTCACGCCGTAAAATAACTCAAAAATGAATATCCCTAAGGTCCACCAGTCCACTGCACTTCCATGGCCTTCCCCAGATACTATCTCCGGAGCCAAGTACTCATGGGTCCCAACAAATGACATAGATCTAACATCAATCGGCTCGGCGACAAATTCTGGACCTATGTGGCAGCCTTGCTTCTTTTTACGCTTGCGCTTGGGATGGAAGCACGATACTGCAGGAACGATACAGTTGGGAAGAATGCAAGAAGTCGAGCCAAATGATGTTGGGTCGATTCTATACTCACTTGTTGGCAATGCATTAGACCGATTTTGAGTAGATATTACTTGTACCGGCGTAGACGTCGAGGCATCGCATCTTAAAGAGAGATCAAAATCAGTCAACATTATATGACCATCTGTTCGAACTAATACATTTTCAGGCTTGAGATCGCGATATACTATTCCCATCATGTGTAGGTACTCCAAAGCAACCACAATCTCGGATGCGTAAAATCTGGGATTATCATTAAATTAAACACACAATTAATTAAATAAACTAAATAATTATTGAAACTGCGATAGATATATCAATGGGACAGATATACTAACAAGAAAAATCTTACAGGAGTAGTTAGCTGTTAGCTAATGACACCATTAATTATTGATTAGGCCTAATTTTTATATTATACGTTATCACTACAAAAATGAGAATATTAGTCTATCATTTGTGAAATTTTACAAAGACATTATCAACTTTATTCGACTGATTGTAGGAATTATAGAAATATAAAGAATCGTTTGCCATACCAGTGACCCGATGACCTTGGCCAAGTCGATGTTCGGGTTTGATTTGATAACTATGCTTGTAAGACTAATTTTTCACGAAAAACTAATAGCCGCTATAAGTTTCCTACATTTACCCATAAAACAAAACCTTGAATCAAGTCCAATAATTCCACCTAGCTTTCTTCCAAATTAATTAATTTACTTTTTTACACTTCATTGAAGACCAGAAAGAAGCTATACCTCTTCTTAACATAGCTACATTGTCCGTACCTCCCTAGCTTCAATTGGACTTAATTGTCAAAGAAAAAATCAATCAGGTGTCCCATTATAATTAACTAAACATATGGGGTGGGGCCATCATAAATTCCAAGAGTTGCTTTTAACGGAAACCCCCCTAAATACAGCAAAAGGGAACAGAACGGAGCACATTCCGTTGAAATTGCCCTCCATTTAAGGATAAAGACCGAATGGGACGAATTAGAAAATTCCATATTTACAGTTTTTAACCTTTAATAATTCATGGAAAACGTTATTTAGGTTCCTTTTGACATGATTTCTATTTTTGCTAATATTTTTTGTAGAAAATCTTTTACTTCAAGCTAGTTTCATCTAAACTCTTACTAT